TGAAATTTCATGCACTCAAACTCTTGCCTGGCTATGTTGTGCCCTGGCTCAGAACTGAAATATAATATCACAGTGGACTCCTGATGGTGTGGATCAGTCCAGACAGATCTAGGTTAACATGGAAAAGCAAGTGAGATGCCAAGAGGGATACTAGAATCAACCTTCTTTTTGTTCTCCTAAAGCGACACCTTTGAAGAGCCCTGGCATTTTTCCCTGGTTAAGAAAAGCCTCCTGCAGGCTTCAGAGAAGCTCCTCCCTTCTTTGCTGGAAAATTTCAGCCGCACCTTACTGTATTCTGACTTTAGCATTCTTCACAGCTCCTACTGCAGTGCTGTCACGATGAGAAGTCTGAATTGCTGCATTTGGCCTCAGGTATGGTGGGCTCTGCACCACCACACCTGCACCTTGATGTTTGGTTGATAGAAGTTGGCCTCTCACTCATAGCAAAATCTAGGGCCCTGGGGTGACTACCCTGTTAAAAATTTTAATAATGCAGAGGCTACAATGGAAAAATTTCTGCATTGGGAGTCAGGAGGTCTGGGTTAGTTCCTAGGATCTGTCCTGTGTGGCTCTGTGACTCTGGGGGACATATTTAATCTCTATGGGCTTCATATTCTTTCCCTGCAAAGATGAAGAACTGGAACAAAGTTATCTCTAAATCCCATCTTGTTCTAAAATTCTAAACTATGATTCATTGCATGTTTTGTCTCTGTTGGCCCCTGTGCTAGATACGAGGAGCATGAAAACAAAAAAAATAATAATAAAAGTTAGTGCCTATTGAATGTTTAAATATGTGCCACAGATTGAATTAAGTATATACAATGTTTTGTTCAGTTCTCAGAATATCCCTATGAGACTAGGTTTGTCATAAGTCTTATTGGCCTTGTGAAAGGACCATTTTTTGGTCCTCCCTGTCCCCCCAGCTAGGGCCCCTACTCTCGTAGACGGACCTGGAGAGCAGTGATGTGAGAGACCCATTCTAGGTGCTTAGCCAGAAACAACTCTGCTGTGGCAATAACTAGGCTGTTGGTTAATAATAGTGGTGACTTAAGACATGTAAATAGATTGCCCCTCCCCACTATTTCTTAAAAAAAATTTTTTTTTCTATCAAGTAGCAAGACTTACATTAAATCTCCAGTAATTAGAACAATGTGGTATTAGCTCAAGAATAGACAAATAGCCCACTGGAACAGAATAAAGAATATAGAAACAGACCCAAGTATCTATGAGCATTTAGCATATGACCATTCATTATATGACAACACTGATTGCAGTGGTGTCCAGTCAACTGGATTGGACAGTCATGTGACAAAAGCTGACTTGACTCCTACTGCACACTGTACACAAAAAACATTTCAAATTTTTGTAGATCTAAATGTAAATATTATAATTATCAAACTTCTGGGAGGTAACATACACAAATATACTCATGATCTTAAACTAAGCAAAGATTTCTTAAATAGGACACAAAAGTCATTACAACTATACAAGAAAAAAAAATGAGTAAATTGGACCACATTAAAAAACAAGAATTTTTGCTCAAAATGCACCATTAAAAAGTGAAAGAGGAAGATACAGGGAGGAAGAGGATATTTGCAACATGTACATTTAATAAAGGATCATATATAGAATATAGAAGGAACCTCTACAAATCAGTAAGAGAAAGGAAGACCACCCAATCTAAATAATGGGCAAAATACTTGAGTAGACAGGTTACAAAAGAGAATATCCAGATGGCCAGTGGACATAATGGAAGTGTGCTCAAGTTCAGTGGACTTAAAGGAAATGCAAGTTAAAGTCTCAGTGCATTACCACTTCATACCAACCAGAATGGGTAAAAGAAACCAACCAGAAAACCTGACTATACTAGGCTTTGTAAGTACTGGCAAGAATGTAAAGCACCTAGAACTCTTATGTACTCTGGTAGGAGTCTAAATTGGAAACGATTTTAAAAAACTGTTTGAGAGAACTATTAAAGATGAACCTCTAAAAAAAAAAAGATGAACCTCTGCATTGCCTATACCTCAGTAGTTTCAGGTTCTGGTTATATCCCCAACACAAATGCATACATATGTTCACTGAAAGACACATGCAGAAACATTAGCGGCAATACTGTTCATAGTGGTCCACACTGGAAACAACTCTAATTTGAAACAACTCTGATTTCTACCTCCAATAAGAAGTATAAATAAGTTATAGCATATTCATATAAATAAACTACTAGGGCAATGGGAAGTGAAGAGTTACTGTTTCACCTAAAAATGATGAATCTTGCAAACATAATCAGTTAAAGAAGCTGTACACAAAAGAGAACCTAGTATATTATTCCATTTTCACAAATTTAAAAAATAGGCAACATAACCCTTTCATTTTGGAAGTCAGAATAGTGGTTTGCCAATTTGGGGAACAGGATACTTTTGGGGTGCTGGTAGTGATTTGTTTCTTATTCACGATAATGTTTATACAGGTGTTTTCAGTTTGTGAAAATTCATTAAGCTGTTTACTTATTTATGCAATTTTCATATGAATGTTGTTCAGTTGCTAAGTTGTGTCAGACTCTCTGTGACCCCATGGACTGCAGCATGCCAGGCTTCCCTGTCCTTATCTATCTCCCAGAGTTTGCTCAAATTCATGTCCATTGAATCGGTGATACTATCTAAACATCTCATCATGTGCAGCAGTCTTCTCTTCCTGCCTTCAGTCTTTCCCACCATCAGAGTCTTTTCTAATCAGTCAGCTCTTTGCATCAGGTGGCCAAAGTATTGGAGCTTCAGCTTCAGCATCAGTTCTTACAATGAATATTCAGGTTTTTATTTCCTTTAGAATTTACTGGTTTGATCTCCTTGCAGTCCAAAGTACTTTCAAGCACCTTTTCCAGTACCACAATTTGAAAGTACCGATTCTTCAGTGCTCAGCCTCCTGCTACTGGAAAAACCATAGCTTTGATTGTATGGACATTTGTCAGCAAAGAGATGTCTCTGCTTTTTAATATTCTGTCTAAGTTTGTCTTGGCTTTCCTTCCAAAGAGAAAGCACCTTTTAATATCATAAGAATATTGTATTGTAAAAACATTTTTACTTAAAAATTTTAAAAAACAAGGTAGATTTTAAGATTCTAACTTTGAATTGATAAAAGATTCATATTATTAAAAATTAAAAAAATATAGAAGGGAAATAATTTAAAAGTCTGCTTTCCACCCCTGTTGCCCAGCCATCCAGTTCCCTTCCTCATAGGTAACCAATAGTATTAGTCTTTTTGGGTATCTTTCCAGAGTTATTTTTTAATATTCAAGCAAATACATATGTAAGTAGTTAAACATACACACATCTATTCTTCCCCACTTACTCTTTTTATATGTATGGCAATATTCTGAACACATTATTCTACAGTCTGCTTTTGCCATTTATCTTAAAAATCTTTCTATATCAGTACATAAAGAAGTTCCTTATTTCTTCTTACAGCTGCATAATGTACTACTGAAAGAATGTGCCATGATTTATTTAATAGATTCCCCTCCTGATGGGCATTTAGGTTAAATTATTTCTGGTTGAGAAGCTTTCTTGATCCTGATCTATGTTGTGTTACATATCTATTTTTCCAGGCCTCATTTTAACTTTTTACAGCAGTTTGAACAGGTTGATCTGTAGTAAAGCAGTACTTTGTATGAAATAAGAGGATGGAAATAAAATAATTTTTCTGCCTCTAAACTTAAAAGAAAGGCTGTCTAAGTAACTGGACTGCAGAATTTCAAAGCTAGGAAGGCTGGCAGAGAACTAATTCTGTGCTTTCTTATGATTGATTTCTTTAATATTATGATGAAAGTTAAGGATTTTCCCCTTAGAAAAATAAACACATATGTAAAATTTTGCATATAAGTTTTGGGGCTGACAAACCCCTTAAAATTCCTCTATGGGTTCTAGATTAAGAATCTGTTGGGACTTTCCTGGTGGTCCAATTAAGAATCCCACTTGTAGTGCAGGGACATGGGTTCAGTCCCTGCTCTTGCAAGATTCCACATGCCACGAGGTAACTAAGCCCTTGTGCCACAACTATTGGGCCTGCACTCTAGAGCTCGTTCTCTACAACAAGAGAAGCCGTCTCACGCTGAGAAGCCCATGCACCACAACTAAAGAGTAGCTCACCGTAACTAAAGAAACCCTGCATGCAGCAGTGAAAACCCAGTGCAGCCAAGAATAAATTAAAAAAAAAAGAATCTGTTGGGAATTCCCTGGTGGTCCAGTGGTTAGGACTCTGTGTTCTCACTGCCAAGGGCCTAGGTTCATGTCCAACTCTTTGCAACCCTGGAGTTCTCCAGGCCAGAATACTGGAGTGGGTAGCCTATCCCTTCTCCAACAGATCTTCCCAACCCAGGAATCGAACCAGGGTCTCCTGAATTGCAGGTGGATTCTTCACCAACTGAGCTATCAGGGAAGCTGAAATAAATAAATAAATAAAAATTTAAAAAAGAGAAAGAATTCTTAAAAAAAAAAAAGAATAATAATCTGTTGGGAATTCCCTGGTGGTCCAGTGATTAGGACTCTACTCTCATTGCAGAAGGCCTAGGTTCAATCCCTGACCAGGGAACTAAAGTCCGATAAACTGCACAGGCAGCCAATAAAAGAGAAACTCCTCAAGAATCTGTTATCTCGTATAACCCCAGTGATATAAAAATGGGGAAACTGAGGGCCAGAGATGGAAAGTGAGTCTCAAAGCTAGTTAATGGCAGAAGACAGTCACATGAATTTATGTTAAATAACTGCCAGCAATATTTCCTCTCCTTTCATTGACTGATGCTACAGCCCAGAATGGCAAGGGAAGCTCCCAGTCCTACCCAGGAAAAGTTCAGTTTGTAGGTAGGGTAATCAGAGAGAAACATAGTAAACAAATTTAATTGAAAGATTGATTTATATATATACATATATATATATATCTCAAGATGGTATTGTTAGAATTTCTTGTATAATACTTTGACTTTCCTTTCTCTTTTGTTTTGTGTTCAGCCCAAAAAGAAGAAGGGAAAAGTGGAAGTGAGACCCATTAATCTGGGAACAGATTATGAATATGGGGCTTTAAACATTCACCTGATCGCGTATGACATGGCCCTGACAGAGAGTTACGCCCAGTATGTTCACAACCTCTGCAATCACCTCTCCATTAAAGTCGAGGAAAGGTATGAAAGATGCCTTTGCATGGGATGTTCTTGGTGTGGGTAGCGTGCTCTACATTGTTGTTGTTAAATGAGATATAATTTTTGTTTTGAGAAATAATTTACATGTAATAAAATTCACTCTTTTTTTTAGGTATGTAGTTTGCCACAATCAAAATAAAGAACAGCTCCATTAAGTTTTAAAAAGTTCCTTGGTGCCTGAGGTATAGTTAATCTCCTCTGTCTTGCCTCTAGAGTCCCTGGCAACCACTGATTGATTTTCTGTCCCTTTTGTTTTAAGTTCTCCAGAATATCATATAAATGGAATCATACAGTATGTAGCTGTTTGTTTCTGGCCTCTTTCACTTAGCATAATGGGTTTAAGATTTATCTGGGGTTTTGCAGACATTCTTTTATTCTGAATATATATTCAGAATTCTGAATAGTATTCCATTAATTCTGAATAGATATTCAGAGTTCCATACTGAATATCTATTCAGTATTCCATTAACTCTGAATAGATATTCAGAATTTTGAATAGTATTCCATTAAATGGTAAACCTTAATTGGTTTATGCCTTCACTGGATTCTTTCTAGTTTATTTGTAATTATGAATAAAGCAAATAGATTCAATAAAAATAAATAAAACAAATAGATTCAAGGGATTAGATCTGATAGAGTGAAGAACTATGGATGGAGGTTCGTGACACCATACAAGAGGCAGGGATCAAGACCATCCACAAGAAAAATGCAGAAAGACAAAATGGGTGTCTGAGGAGGCCTTAACAATAGCTGTGAAAAGAACAGAAGTGAAAGGCAAAGGAGAAAAGGAAAGATATACTCATTTGAATGCAGAGTGCCAAAGAATAGCAAGGAGAGATAAGAAAGCCTTCCTCAGTGATCAATGCAAAGAAATAGAGGAAAACAATAGAATGGAAAAGACTAGAGATCTCTTCAAGAAAATTAGATGGAGAAGGAAATGGCAACCCACTCCAGTATTCTTGCCTGGAGAATCCCATGGACAAAGGTGCCTGACAGGCTACAGTCCATGGGGTCTCAAGAGTCAGACACGACTTAGTGACTTAAAAAAAAAGAAAATTAGAGATACCAAGGGAAGGTTTCATGCAAAGATGGGCACAATAAAGGACAGAAATGGTATGGACCTAACAGAAGCAGAAGATATTAAGAAGAGGTGGCAAGAACACCCAGAAGAACTATACCAAAGAGATCTCCTGAATGAAACTGGAGCCCATTATAGAGAGTGAAGTAAGCCAGAAAGATAAAGAACATCACGGCATACTAACACATATATATGGAATTTAGAAAGATGGTAATGATAACCCTATATGCAAAACAGAAAAAGAGACACAGATGTACAGAACAGACTTTTGGACTCTGTGGGAGAAGGCGAGGGTGGGATGTTTC